TCTACCTACTTGTAACTTGAAGACCACCAAACCAGTCTGAACTGTGGACTTTTCCCTACTCCCAGTTAAATTTACTATTTCCTCTCAGTTTAGGGATTATCTTTTAAAAATATTTTTATTCAGAGCTCCATAAAGTCTCTAACTTGTCAGAGCCAGATCCCACAGAGCCACTTGTGATCTGATTAAAACTCTGATTTGAAACTTTCAGACCCGTTTGATGGAGCTGCACCGCCAGTGGGAATTACTTCTGGAGAAGATGCGAGAGAAAGGAATCAAACTGCTGCAGGCCCAGAAGTTGGTGCAGTACTTACGGGAATGTGAGGACGTGATGGACTGGATCAATGACAAGGCACGTTTTGAGAAGAAAGGTTTGCTAAGCCTTACTCAGAGAAAGGAAGAGACTCCTCCGTGATCTGTAGCGAGACCCAGTGTTAGCACAGATACGGCCATTTTAAGGGAAAGGGTGGAAGTGGGATTGCTGTCTCTCCAGCTGCTCTCTGGGTGTATGCGCTATTCTGTAACTCTGAAGCCTGGAGTCGCTGAGACAGAAATGCTCTGAGCTCAGCCTGTTAACTTTCTATGGGAGGAACTAAAATCACAAACCACAGAGAAAACCGTATCCATTAAAGCTAGCATGGCTCCATCCCTAATGTGTCTGTTTCATGCTTCTGGAAGCCATTGTTAACAAATGTTGGTTGGTGACTCTGGCTCTCTTATGGTCCCTGAATAGGAAGCAATTGTTACTTCTGAAGAGCTGGGCCAGGATCTGGAGCATGTAGAGGTTTTACAGAAGAAATTTGAAGAGTTTCAAACAGATATGGCCGCTCATGAAGAAAGAGTTAATGAAGTGAACCAATTTGCTGCCAAACTCATACAGGTAAATAGCAAAGTGCTGTGTGTTTCTCACAACATTATTATGTTAACTGTTTAGTATATTCAGGAGAAAATTTTGATGATTGGTCCCCTAATTTTTGATTGAGCAAGTTTTTGTAAGCATGTCTAAAGAGTTTTGTTTAGATGTATAAGGCACAATACTGATTAGTCCTAAATTGGAAGATGCTTTTTAATGTGTTGCCTTCGGCAGGAAGGGCAGAGTTCATGTGATCTGTTTCCTCCACCCACTTCTGGGTAGGGCTGGGTGAAGCTTTTATTGGGCTGCTGAAGCTAGGTCTCAGGGTTTCTCAGACGAGGGTGTGGTGGTGAATGCTAAGTTAGTATTGGCAGATGTCCACCAATGCCTTAGGGCTCTTGCCTTCCTTTTTTATTTGAAGCTTCCCTGGGCTCTCCTGGGAGCCTGAGAGAACCTTGTGGTGAATAGGCTCTCCACTCTGGCGCTGGAGCCTGTGAAGAGGGAATGATAACCCTTCCCCAGTGCCCACGTGTACAATCCTGTAAGCTGCTTCCACTCTGAGTGCAAAGGGTTCCACGGACATCAAGTACTCAGAACCCGAGAGTTTTTACTTTTAGGGAAATTTGATTTGGGGGGGTACAAATTTTAAATGTATAAATCTGCTTACAGGCTGGTACTTGTTTCCTTTTTCTGGTCTATGATTAAGAGAAAGAATACCCGGCATTCCTCAGAAATATCTCACCCTTCCACAGTGACAGATGTGTTACCTTTCCAAACCCTAGGCTTTCCTACAGTTGAGCTTGAGAAGAGTAGTCAGGCCAAACCCATGGTATCCCAAATGGATTCAAGAACCCTGAATGCTTCACTTTATTACTTTATATCGTATTTTTAAAAACACCAAAATGTGGTTGGTAGGGAAGGATACTTTTAAAGAAATGTCTCTAAGCTGGATGCAGTGGCATCTGCCTGTAGACCCAGCTACTCTACTCAGACCCAGGCTGACAAGGCGGGATCACTTGAGACCAGCCTGGGTAACATAGCAAGACCCTGTCTCAAAAAAGAAAAAAAGAAATGTCTTCAGTCTAAAGCCAGGAACAAACTCTTAAGCCCTGAAAATTATGTTTATGTGCAAGAATGCTTAACAGCCTCATGAACATCTGAAATACCAAATTTTCAAGCAGTTAGGGTAGATGAGTACATGGATAAAGCTACCACAAAGTTACAGCCAAACTATTTATTAACATCAGAGTGGTGATTTGCTAAGATACGTCAAGGAACCAACCCCAGGGTGACTAGTTGGAGAAGCCAGAAGTTGTGTACAAATCCAGTCTCTTCTCTTCCTTGTTTAGGAGCAGCACCCTGAGGAGGAACTGATCAAGACTAAGCAGGATGAAGTCAATGCAGCCTGGCAGCGGCTGAAGGGCTTGGCTCTGCAGAGGCAGGGGAAGCTCTTTGGGGCAGCTGAAGTTCAGCGCTTTAACAGGTGTCAAGCCAGAGTGGGCTTTGGGGAATGGGCCTCAACCTGGAGGGGAGTTGTGAAGCACAGGGCATGTGCTGGTGAGCTGTCAGGGCTGACTGGGCCTTGGTCCCATGGAGTGTTCCTAGTTCTAGGGAGATGTCATTGCTGTGGATTAACTGGTGCCTTTGTTCTGTAGGGATGTGGATGAGACTATCAGTTGGATTAAGGAAAAGGAGCAGTTAATGGCCTCTGATGATTTTGGCCGAGACCTGGCAAGTGTTCAGGCTCTGCTTCGGAAGCACGAGGGTCTAGAGAGAGATCTTGCTGCTCTAGAAGACAAGGTGGGTTTTACAAGCAGCTGATTCTGTAAATAAGTTACCAAGGGTCAGGAGAATAGTTCTGACGGAGTTCATTTCTAGGTCAAAGCCCTGTGTGCTGAGGCTGACCGCCTGCAACAGTCCCACCCTCTGAGTGCAACACAGATTCAAGTGAAGCGAGAGGAGCTGATTACAAACTGGGAGCAGATCCGCACCTTGGCGGCAGAGAGACATGCACGGCTCAATGATTCATACAGGTGCAAATAATGCTCCAGGTCTTAACCAGTATCATTTAACTTCTTTTTAGGAAGCAGGAATAGCAGAGTTAAGGGTCTGTTCTGTGTTCTGTGGAAGTGTCAGGTATCACCTACCAATGCAAATCACTTCTTACCTATGTTCTCTCTGTTTGGAGACTGGCAACTGTATCATGTGTAGTATGTGTATGCTATTTACAACTTCATAAATTCTTCTATTCTGCATCACTGCATTATGACTGATAGAATGGAAATATCCCCTTAAGTATCTGAGTATCACATGAAAAACCTTATTACAACCAGATTGGAAAGGAAAAGAATGCTGCTTACTAGCCAAGGGTTGAACCTGGGAATAACAAGGAAGTTGAAAATGTGGGACAGGATTGGGGCTTTATAGTGATGGACAGAACCTAAGTTTTAAAGCGTTGATTTCAGCCTTCTCTTGCTTTCCTTCACAGTCTAGATTGGTAGAATTTCATATTTCCCGGAATTAGAGTTTGTATAATTTGTTAGACATTTGAGAACATAGAATTCGGAGCTTTAGGGAGGCCATTTTCCACCCTGGAACCTCCGCTGGAAACATAATGTCTTCCTTTGGCTTTTCCTAGGCTTCAACGCTTCCTTGCTGACTTCCGTGACCTCACCAGCTGGGTGACTGAGATGAAAGCCCTCATCAATGCAGATGAGCTTGCCAATGATGTGGCTGGGGCTGAAGCCCTGCTAGATAGACACCAAGAGCACAAGGTAATAGTATCTCTAGCATCTTCCAGAAGTGAAGATTTTAGCTTATAATGCAACAGTATATCAATGTTGGGTGAGGCCTGTAGTTGGAGTTGGTACCACGTTATTCACAGGTGTCTCTCATCATAAGGATTGTGGTTGGTTTTGCCTTTGGAGACCTGGTCTACCTGCTTCTGATAGAGGCTTAACTCAGTTTAGTGTCAAGAAGTTCACTGTGGTCCATAAAAGCAAACAGACAAGCTCTGGCGAGACAGAAGTGCTACTACTTGGCACATTGATCCTTTGTGATGTAAAAAGTATTTGTTGGGCTGAGCACAGTGGCTTATGCCTATAATCCCAGCACTTTGGAAGGCCAAGGCAGGTGGATCACAAAGTCAAGAGATCAAGACCATCCTTGCCAACATGATGAAACCCTGTCTCTACTAAAAGTACAAAAATTAGCTGGCCTTGGTGGCACATGCCTGTAGTCCCAGCTACTCAGGAGTCTGAGGCAGGGGAATCGCTTGAACCCCGGGAAGCAGAGGTTGCAGTGAGCCATGATCGCACCATTCTACTACTGCCTGGACAACAAGAGTGAAACTCCATCTCTCATAAAAAAAAAAAAACAAAAAAAAAACTGAGAGGTTTTAATGTGCTAGATACAAAATCAATATACTGAAAGTCAAACGTTTCTCTACACTAGCAACAGAAACGTAATTTTTAAAAATACTACTTATTAGAGCAGAAAATATAAAGTACTTAGGAATAAATCTAACAAAAATGTGTAAGACATTTGTGGAGAAAACTATAAAACTTTGTTAAAAGGCATTAAATAAAAACTGAATAGATAGAATGATTTATCTAGTGCACAGATAGAACGATCTTTTGTGAAGATGTAAATTCCCACCAGGATATATACAGTTAATTCAGTTCTAGTCAAGTGCTCAGCAGGTATATGTGTATGTGTGTGTTTCTTTTTGCAATGAGATGAGCTGATTCCAAAACTGATTTGGAAGAAAAAAATTTAAAAAAGGTTGAGACAATGTTGAAGATCATGATGGGGCCAGGGAGGGACTCACCCTACCAGGTTCTATAAAATAATAGTAAACAAGTCCATTTGGCACAAAGAAGACAGAGCACTGGAACGAAAGAGAGCTCAGACCCATGTGAATGTGTGGAACCTTGACAAACGACAGGTGACCTGAAAAGCCATTTGGAAAAGGACTTCATCAGTGAGTGATACTCTCACATTTGATGACCTAGATTGATTATGTATTAGGAAACCTGGCCTAATCTTTCATTTTGTTCCTTGTTTTAGATATCATAGTCTGGCTTATAATGCTTATGTAAAATGCAACACCTTGTTTTCATTTTTTAAGATGCTAGGCATAAATCATGGCTTTGTTTTTTTCTCCTGTAGGGTGAAATTGATGCTCATGAAGACAGCTTCAAATCTGCAGATGAATCTGGGCAGGCACTGCTTGCTGCTGGTCATTACGCCTCAGATGAAGTGAGGGAGAAGGTAAGAGAAGAGAAATGGAGCTTTTGAGGAGCAAATTACATCTTTCACTAAGTCTCTGAAAGCTATTATTCATCCTTAAATATCCAGACATTGCATTCACCATGATATGTGAGAAACTTTCCTTTTTCTGCAGAGATTTAAAAAGAAGGTATATGTGTAGTGTGCTGATTTCCTGAGAGACAGTCCTCCTTATTTGGGGCATGTGTGGCATGTTTCCTACTTACAGGGACTTTTTGTATTGAGCTGAGTCTTGCATTAGGAGTTGCAGCAAAGAGGAAACACATTTTTATAAAATGATACGTAGGCCGGATGTGGTGTGACCCCAGCACTTTCAGAGGCCAAGGCAGGAGGATTGCTTGAGACTAGGAATGGGAGACCAGCCTGAACAACATAGTGAGACCCCATCTTGACAAAAAATTGATAAATTAGCCAGACATGGTGGCACATTCGTATAGTCCTAGCTACTCGAGAGAATTGCTTGAACCCAGGAGTTCAAAGTTACAATGAGTTATGATTTGCACCACTGCACTCCAGCTTGAGTGACAGAGTGAGACCCTGTCTCTAAAAAAAAAAAAGAAAGTAAAATAAAATATGTATGTATGTAAGTTTTGAAGTATCTCAGAGTATAAAATTGCCTAGGAACATTAGATAAATAATGATTTCTATATTTTCTAATATTACATAGAGTAAAAGAAGACATTTCAAAGACTTGTCATTAGTAGCTTCGGAGCCTAAAGTCTCGGGGGTTTCTGAATTTATTTTCCATATGTTATAGAGCACCCACTCAGTTGACATTTCTCAGTGGAGAGTCCCTACTCCATTTATACTGCCTCACTTTTAAATGGATGCCCTGTTTCTTCTACCTGGGAGTTTACTTACTATTTTTACCTAAAGTCATTTGTGATCATGTGGCAATAAATTAATTCTAGATTAATTAAAATAGGCCATCCCTTTTATATTGAACATGCACATACAACATGAATGTTGTTTTTCCCCTTTTGCAAATCAGAAAAAAGGCCTGAAGATTAGCACTAGGATTAGGAATTCCAGGCTAGCTGTTCTGTCTGCCTCGGAGGCATTGGGGCTGACCTCATCTCCCTGACCATGTCTCCTATGCCCCCAAGCTGACCGTCCTTTCCGAGGAGAGAGCAGCACTGCTGGAGCTGTGGGAGCTGCGCAGGCAGCAGTACGAGCAGTGCATGGACCTGCAGCTCTTCTACCGGGACACTGAGCAGGTGGACAACTGGATGAGCAAGCAGGAGGTAATCTGTGAGCAAAGCCTTGTCAGTGGTGGGAGAAGAAGGACCTGTATTTTGTCTCCTCGGGTAGTGTGCTTGTTTTGTTTTAGGACATCGGTACCATGTTAGTTCTGAATCCATTGAAGAGGGGGAATTGAGCAAGCTTCTCTCAGCTCTTCCGGCATCTCTCTCTGCTGAGATTGCAAGGCCTTCAGAAAAGGCCCCAGCTTTTCAGATTAGTGTGATGTAAAATGTTTTGAGATTTTTTTCTTAGAACTTAGCATTGCCGGGTGCAGTGGCTGTCTCCTGTAATCCCAGCACCTTGGGAGGCTGAAATGGGAGTATCCTTTGAGCCCAGGAACTCAAGGCTACAGCAAACTATGATCGTACCACGCACTCTAGCCTGTTCAGTAGACTGAGATCCTGTCTCACAAAAAAAACTTTAGCATTATGTGCCATCTAAATCTAATAGAAGCAACAAAAGCTATGTAAGAGAAGTTTCAATAGAATGTGGAACAAGGATTTCATGATATGACTTTACTGGATTGATTTTAAAAAAATCCAAAAGGACTTTAAACTTCCTAGAAGAGATCTTAGAAGTTTAACAGCCATAAAATCTCTTTCCTTCTTTTTGTATTTTGGCCAAAATACCCTTTGCTTCACAGTCTTAGAAGATCAAAGGAATAGGACATTATTCTGAACACTTTGTTTCCTTTGGCAAGGCGTTCCTGTTGAATGAAGACTTGGGAGATTCCTTGGATAGTGTGGAAGCACTTCTTAAGAAGCATGAAGACTTTGAGAAATCCCTTAGTGCCCAGGAGGAAAAGATTACAGTAAGATCCCTTCTTGTCAGTGCTTTCAAATGACCCTTATTATCATAAGCCAGAATCTCTTTCCCTGGAAGGATTCTGAACAGATTTGGTGAAAGATTCATATGCAAAGCACTCCTGTGGCTGCTTAAACTTTCACAAGGATGACATGCTATCCGTTGAAGACATAATACAACTTTATGGAAAAATGATTTCCTTAATGGAAACCTCCAAACTTCTTTAAGTTTGTACCCTTCATTAAAAGTAGGTCAGGGGGCCAGGCGCGGTGGCTCAAGCCTGTAATCCCAGCACTTTGGGAGGCCGAGACGGGTGGATCACGAGGTCAGGAGATCGAGACCATCCTGGCTAATACGGTGAAACCCCGTCTCTACTAAAAATACAAAAAACTAGCCGGGCGAGGTGGCGGGCGCCTGTAATCCCAGCTGCTCAGGAGGCTGAGGCAGGAGAATGGCGTAAACCCGGGAGGCGGAGCTTGCAGTGAGCTGAGATCCGGCCACTGCACTCCAGTCAGGGCACAGAGCGAGACTCCGTCTCAAAAAAAAAAAAAAAAAAAAAAATAGGTCAGGGTTAATATTAAGAGGTACTCTTGGCTGGGTGCAGTGGCTTACTCCTGTAATCCCAGCACCTTGGGAGGCTGAGGCGGGCACATCACGAGGTCAGGAGATCGAGACCATCCTGGCTAACACAGTGAAACCCCGTCTCTACTAAAAATACAAAGAATTAGCCGGGCGTGGTGGCGGGCACCTGTAGTCCCAGCTACTCGGGAGGCTGAGGCAGGAGAATGGTGTGAACCTGGGAGGCGGAGCTTGCAGTGAGCCGAGATCGCACCACTGCACTCCAACCTGGGCGACAGCGAGATTCCGTCTCAAAAAAAAAAGAAAGAGGTACTCTTCCCATTGAAAATACATCTTAGAAATAAGAATTTGGAAAGCTGTTAACCTGTATTTGACCCCTGCCAGGAGATGGTGGCACAACTAGTGTCTCCAGTCTTGAATGGAGGTAGCACAGTCTTAAGATATGTAACTGATAACATCAAGCAAAATCTCAAAAGTTGTGAGAAAAATGTCATCACCAACCTTTGGGTGAAAACCTTGACCTATGTTAAAGTTTGGTGTGTTTTATGATCTGTTCAGCCGTTACTTTTCTCTAGAGGCCAAGCTCAGGACTAATGTGCTTACCAATGAATAACTTTTATCTTCCTTCCTAGGCGTTAGATGAATTTGCAACTAAGCTAATTCAGAACAACCACTATGCAATGGAAGATGTGGCCACTCGCCGAGATGCTGTAAGTTTGTAGGTTCTTCATGCTTCTCCTTTTTGGTATGTGGATCTCTCTTCTAAGATGTTCCAGTTAAATCTCTTCAACTGGACATCTCTTTGGGCATAAACACTAGAGACTTACAGGGGATCCTTGTCTTTCAGCTGTTGAGCCGCCGCAATGCCCTTCACGAGAGAGCCATGCGTCGCCGGGCCCAGCTAGCCGATTCTTTCCATTTGCAGCAGTTTTTCCGTGATTCTGATGAGCTCAAGAGTTGGGTCAATGAGAAGATGAAAACTGCCACAGATGAAGCTTATAAAGTAATGTACTATTAGTGTTGCTGTGTAGCACTTGATTAGTAAGCTAAACACAGCTCTCACAAATAAATGATAGCTAAAGGACAAAATAAGGGATTCCAAAAACCACACTACTTAATGTAAGCCAACTGTTTTATACATTCCTCCATAAAGATAAGTATAAAGGTAATGCAAGGGAACTTGACATACTCAGGTTTAGATAGAAAGAATCCCCTTCTTTCTTTTATGGTCAGGATCCATCCAACCTACAAGGAAAAGTACAGAAGCATCAGGCTTTTGAGGCTGAGCTCTCAGCAAACCAGAGCCGAATTGATGCCTTGGAGAAAGCTGGCCAAAAACTGATTGATGTCAACCACTATGCCAAGGACGAAGTAGCAGCTCGTATGAATGAGGTGATCAGTTTGTGGAAGAAACTGCTAGAGGCCACTGAACTGAAAGGTAAGAGAAGATGTTCCATTGGATTGTGACATGCATGTTTGAGGAACTAAATACCCCTTTCTATGAAGTATTTTAGGGACATATACCCCTAAAGTAAGGTGAAGTGGATGACTTTGGCGTTAGGGATAATTTCCTGTGTAGGAATTACTTGGCTTAAGTTCTTGATAATAGTTTGGTAAATGTAGTTGAGCATACTGGTTGGTGAGGGAGTCTGAGTGAGAAGGAACAGAATTGGGCGTCATTGCTGAAAATCAAAGTTCAGCTGAGAGCCAAGGGCATTTACTAATTCTCCAGTGTCCTTGTATCTCAAGGGGGTTAGAATGCTTCCAGTTCAACCTTGAGATGGTAGAGCAGAGGCTGCAATTGATATTTTCTTTCCCTTTGTGATGTAAGTGAAGGATTAAAATTCTGATCTATATAGTCCTTCACTAAGATGCTACTGTTCATGGGCAGTGTCGGCAGAAGGGTAATGCTAAGCAATACAAAATTAAACTTGCTTCCTTCCATAGGAATAAAGCTTCGTGAAGCCAACCAGCAACAGCAATTTAATCGCAATGTTGAGGATATTGAATTGTGGCTGTATGAAGTAGAAGGTCACTTGGCTTCGGATGATTACGGCAAAGATCTTACCAATGTGCAGAACCTCCAGAAGAAACATGCCCTACTAGAGGCAGATGTGGCTGCTCACCAGGTAGTGTGAGCTGGGGGCTGTGGTTGGGCAAGTGAATGCAGAAACCATAGGAGGGAGGAAAAGCCAGTAATTTCAGACTAAATGAGTTTTGGGAGGGATGAAATGTGTTGATTTTCTTAGATTACTCTGTGCTACATGTGCTTCTGCTAAAATTAAATATCATCCCTTAGAGCTTTCCAGGAGCCTCAGATGAAGGAAGGAACTAGCAGAAAGAATACTCTCAGGGGTGGGAAAAAGACCTTATCAACTTTTCTTTGTATACGATAAAACCACACCCAAAGTAAAGTCAGCTCTGTCCTTTCACATTGCTAGGACCGAATTGATGGCATCACCATTCAGGCCCGCCAGTTCCAAGATGCTGGCCATTTTGATGCAGAAAACATCAAGAAGAAACAGGAAGCCCTCGTGGCTCGCTATGAGGCACTCAAGGAGCCCATGGTTGCCCGGAAGCAGAAGCTGGCTGATTCTCTGCGGTTGCAGCAGCTCTTCCGGGATGTTGAGGATGAGGAGACATGGATTCGAGAGAAAGAGCCCATTGCTGCATCTACAAATAGAGGTCAGTCTGCTTCCCTCAGGTAGGAATCAACTTGGGAAAGGCTATGCTGTTGTAGCATAGAGGGGATGCATGTCAGGATGGGCAGGGTCAAGTTTAAATTATCTAACTAGAACCATGGTGGTAGCTACGGATGACAAATCAGTGCTAACTTTTCTCTTCATGGTTGGATAACTGGGGAGTGGTGTCTGCTTTCAGGTAAGGATTTGATTGGGGTCCAGAATCTGCTAAAGAAACATCAAGCCTTACAAGCAGAAATTGCTGGACATGAACCACGCATCAAAGCAGTTACACAGAAGGGGAATGCCATGGTGGAGGAAGGTGAGTAATTGGCATCAGTGACGTGGCTTGGCGCTGCTCCTTGTATCTCCCCTTATTGCCAAGGGTGTGGCCATGTGGGCGTAACAGACCGGGCTCTGGGGCTGAATACCATCCCAATTCTTTACTGACTGTACGACCTGACCAGACCTTATCTTTCTGAGCTTGAATTTACCTTTTTTTTTTTTTT